TAGATAGATAGATAGATAGATAGATAGATAGATAGATAGATAGATAGGAGAGAGAGAGAGAGAGAGAGAGAGAGAGAGAGAGAGAGAGAGAATAGATAGATACTGATAGATAGATAGATAGATAGATAGATAGATAGATAGATAGATAGATAGATAGATAAATAGATGGATGGATGGATGGATGGATGATAGATAGATAGATAGATAGATAGATAGATAGATAGATAGATAGAGATAGAGAGATAGAGAGATAGAGAGATAGAGAGATAGATAGAGATAGAGATAGAGATAGAGATAGAGATAGAGATAGATAGATGATAGATAGATAGATAGATAGATAGATAGATAGATAGATACTGATAGATAGATAGATAGATAGATAGATAGATAGATAGATAGATAGATAGAGATAGAGATAGAGATAGAGATAGAGATAGAGATAGAGATGATAGAGATAGAGATAGAGATAGAGATAGAGATAGAGATAGAGATGGATGGATGGATGGATGGATGGATGGATGGATGGATGATAGATAGATGGATGGATGGATGGATAGATAGATAGATAGATAGATAGATAGATAGATAGATAGATAGATAGATAGATAGATAAATAGAATAGATACCATAGACAGACAGACAGACAGACAGATGGGTGGGTGGGTGGATGGATAGATGGATAAATATAGATAGAAGAGAGAGAGGAGGATGACCAGCCACTGACTGGCTGGCTGGCTGGGTGATATTTATTGTGGTCAGTGATTAGATAAAACAGAACATATATACCTAAATTAAGTAGAGCAAACAAAAAAAATCTAACCAACTTCCAGCTATAAGATATGTGAATTAAGCAGGAAGATGTCCAATCAGCATCAGGTTTTTTTCCCTTCAGGTTCGTCCATATTATATGCAATGTCCAAGAGTCATTAATTTAGGAATTGCTGATCCAGCTCATTATTTTGTTGGACTAATCAAGAAAGCCACAGACTATCACTATTCAGCATTTCAACATATAGCATAGTCAAAGAGATCTATTACATCCTCCTTTGTGAAGCAAAGCAGGCTTGGATTGTCTAGAGATAAGATGTCCTTATCTCTAGACAAACGTATATGCAATAAAATGCACAAATACATTCCAGATTACTCTAGGATCCATCCAGAACCTCAGAAACATGCCACAATTGGCAAATTTCATTTGGGATTAAACCTGTAGCATTCCCCCAGGTCGGTCTACTGGATTGGCCTTCTCCATTTAGATTCCTTCCACAAATGGTTGGACTATGATACCTGGCTAAAGAAAGTGAGAAGTCTCATCATCTACATCATCATCATCATCATTTGACTTAAGCATAACTCTTGATGATTTCATGGACATGCCAATGAAGATTTTGTGGTAGCTACTGTATGGAAATGGTTGCTTAAAGGTAAAAGGTAAAGGTTCCCCTTGCACATCTGTGCTAGTCGTTTCTGGCTCTAGGGGGTGGTGCTCATCTCCGTTACAAAGCCGAAGACCCAGCGCTTTCCGAAGATGTCTCTGTGGTCATGTGTCCGGCAGGACTAAACGCCGAAGGCGCACGGAACACTGTTACCTTCCCACCAAAGTGGTCCCTATTTTTCCACTTGCATTTTTTACATGTTGTTGAACTGCTAGATTGGAAGAAAATGATAACTTAGCTTCTTCCAAATACACAGAAGGTATTGGCCAATAGAAGGAGGGCACCAAGTGGAATAAAGATACATATTGCAACCTGTTTGGTGTCCTGGTCCCACGAGATGATTGGAAGCACATAATTTCAATGAAATAAAAGCTAGCCAACAACACAGAAGCAGGAAAATTCCCTCTGGGAGCAGTTACCATAATGTGGGATGATGCTCCAGGCCATGACTGAGGCGTACAAACCACCAATCATCCAGAACATGCAGAGCCAGCTCAGGTGTTCTCCTCGCTTCTCACGGGCTAGGAATTCAGAGAAATAGGCAAAGACGATGGGTAGGGAACCTCCAACACTGAAGAAAGAAAAAGAGGAAACTGGAAGGATAAAACAACTTAGGAACCAGAGATACGGTTTCATAGTAGCCTAGTAATATCAACTATGTTGTCTCTTCGTTATTTTTTTTTCTTTTTCTAAATCTATGTTGGACTTAACAGAATAACAGAATGATAGAGTTGGAAGGGACCTTGGAGGTCTTCTAGCACAATCTCCTGCTCAGGCAGGAAACCCTATCCCATTTCAGACAAACAGTTGTCCAATCTCATTTAAATCGAACCTTGGACCTATATCCAGCTTGAAGCTTTCCCCTGTTCTGTTGTCAATAAACTGGGTTTGATTAAACACAGTAAACAATCCAAGTGATATCTCTGTGAACCATTGCCGAGAAAGTGCTCTTAAGTTTGCTTATTTGCTGTGGTTTTTCAGGAGGCTTGGAGGGAAGATGGAAAGAAATTGGAGGGCCTTGGAGGTCATTTAGTCCAACCCTTTGCTTAGGCAGGAAACACTATATTGTTTCAGACAAATGGTTGTCCAATCTCTTCTTAAAGAACCTCCAGTGATGGAGCACCCCCAACTTCTGGAGGCAAGCCATTCCACTGGTTAATTGTTCTCACTGTTAGAAAATTTCTTCTTAATTCTAGGTTGCTTTTCTCCTTGATTAGTTTCCACCCATTGCTTCTTGTCCTGCTTTCTGATGCTTTGTAGAATAGGCTGACCCCCTCTTCTTTGTGGCAGCCCCTCAAATATTGGAACACTGCTACCATGTCACCCCTAGTCCTTCTTTTCTCCAGACTAGACAAACCCAACTCCTTCAACTGTTCTTCATTTGATTTAGTCTCCAGCCCCCTAATTATCTTTCTTGCTGTTCTCTGCACTCTTTCCAGAGACTCAACATCATTTTTATAACATGATGACCAAAACTGGATGCAGTATTTCAAGTATGGCCTTATTAAGGCTTTATATAACAGCACTAATACTTTGCATGATCTTGATTCTATCCCTCAGTTAATGCAATCCAGGATTGCATTTGCTTTCTTGGTTGCTAACATTGCAAAATTTTACACTGCGTTGTAAAACTGCAACATGTTCAATTGTTGTTCAAAGAGTCTGCTTTGGAATGAGAAGTGTAAGAAGCCAATCGGCTAAGGAATACGATCAAATATCAGATGTCTCCCTTGGCCTGGAACAAGCTTGTTCTTCTCCAAAACGTTCAGTACGTACCCAAAACCGGAGATGAGGCGGCAGAAGAGGAAGAAGCCGTATTGCTGAACAAAGGAGGAGAGGAACGCAAAGCTGGCATTGATGGAGAGTGAGATGATCAGGCACTGCTTCCGGCCCAGCTTGTCTGCCAGGCCACTCCAGAAAAGGGCCCCCACCATCATTCCAAAATAAACAATTAGTCCTGTACAACAGAGGGACACAAAGACATATTACTCCCTGTGCTTATTCTTGTTAGCAGCGGCATCTCTCCAGGATTCCAAAAACGCCCACTTGCCAACTCTGCAGAAATGATGATCCAGGTACTGCCTTCCCTCCAACAAGGGCCACCAAGTGAACATCCCCAAAGCAGAACAAATAAATTGCCACAATGAGGCGCCTGGCTCATGCAAGATCCCCAGTTTGCTAAAACAAGCTCCTAGAAAGTCACAATTCATTGCCGGCTCCCTTATTTTACCAAAGGAAAGTGGGGAGTTGATTAATTTCCTCTCATTATAGACCAAAGGCCCCTGTGACATTAAAAGGAACTGCAGCATTAATAACAGCAGCAGCCAGAAGCTTTATATCTATGGTAATCAGCCATTGGAGGAGTCCATAAATACTGTTATTTCTCCTAATCAGGACAAAAGCAAAGGCTTTGTAGTGAACGACATAATATTTAGATGCATTGGCTTCAAGGCTGCAAGCCAGCTGCGATTCCCTTTCATATGTATTTATTATTTCTTTCTTAGCTTGGTTTTGTTTTGTTTAGGAGATGCTTTTTCTTTTCTTTTTTCTTTCTTTCCCCTACTAAGCATGTGCATAACACACAAAAGACATATAAATACATGCACACATCATCATCATCTCCTTTTAATGACCCCATAATCCCTTGCAGGGTGGGAGTCTGGGCAACTGAATGGAGCTGAGTGTTTACTGGCCGGATGCCCTTCCTGTCGCCAATGTGGAGGTTTTTTTCCAGCAGATATATTCTCACTGTGCCCAGACAGAGAAATATCTGCCTCTAGTTAGGTTCGAACTCACAGCCTCCTGATTGTGAGGCAAGAGCTCCACCTCTAGGCCACCGCACCACTCCAATTATAGAAGTTATATCAGATTTCTTATTTAATAATGAATGTAATATGCATTTAATAATGACTAGTCCTCGCAATTATTACAGACAAAAGAAAAGGTTTGTTGCAGAGAAGAAAACAGATACATCAGGCCAAGTGTTTCATCACGCGCAACCAGCATGGTCAATGCATGTAGATCAATGCATTAGGTTAGATAAAATACTCTTGTTAGATCAATACAGTCCCCAGGTCACAAACGGGAATGATTATTGCTACCAGGAAAGTACGGATGCCCTGCTTTGACTCGAGCCTTCGCTGACAGATTAAAAAGGGTAGGAGGGGGGTAAACAGCCTTTTCTGCAGAGAAAATCCTTCACACCAGCTGTTCTCCAAAGCTTCTTAAAAGCACAGGCCATTCTCCTCCTTCACCCGGCACGTATATAAATGCCTCTGATCCAACTTTTCCACTCCACTTTTAATAGAGACACCCCACCATCCAGGAGTGGGCTGCCGGGGGTTCACAGGGGTTCAGGAGACCCTCTAGCTAAGATTCTGCACAGTTTGGAGAATCCCCAAATCCCACTCCTGGCTGCCCCCCTGCCCCTCCCAAGAGTCCCCACACAGCCCGTTTTGGTTGCAGGTAAGTGAAGGGCAGGCACGGAGGATTGGGGTGGGCAAAAGACGGCCCCCTCGGGGCTCATTTCTGGCTTCCAGAGAGCCTCCGGAGCCCGGGGAGGGCAAAAACACTCCCCCAGCCGTGGTGCAGGAGGCCGACTAGGCCACGCCCACCCAGCAATCGGGCAGAGAACCCATTGCTAAAAAATTTTGAAGCCCGCCACTGGACGCATCATCATTCTATTGCTCTCTGCAAATACGTTTGTTTGGCATAACAAGGGACGTGGGGCTCCCTCAACCATTCTGAAATTCTGAAAAGGGGGCGTGCATAAGCGCACCAACGTGCCTACCGTCCCTGTCCTATTGTTTCTCTTATTCTTCTTTTATTTTTCTTATATGTACCCATTTCATGTATTCACAACTATGTATACATTTATACTTATTATCTTGTAAACAATTGGCAAATCAAATAAATAAAATAAAAATAAATAAATGTTCCCAGCTTCCTAAGAACTCTTTAATGCTCTTGAAAATGAAATCCCAGTCTCTGGGTCCAGCTGGGTTACACACACACACACACACACACACACACACACGGGTCCAAGGATTTTGCCAGGGGAATGTTGAAATCTTTGCTCCAATGTCTTTCCTGGGTGCTGTCTCATCATTCAGTAATGTGAGTGTAGCACAGGGATGAGCAATTGATTCCCCCCCCCCCCCCCCCCCCCCCCCCCCCCCCCCCCAACAGAGTTGTGAAGGTGCACAGGCATGCAGGCAAGCACGTAAGTAAACTGGGGAAAAAATAAACAACAGTAGCCTTCAAAATAAAAGCAGTACACTTGTATGGCGTGAATAGTGTACACTTATTGACATTTGTTTTTCAATTTCCAATTGACCTCATGAGGGCAGGGTAGGAACAGCCAAAGTGTCAACCCTGAAGATGACATATGTGTAGCCATATTTTATTGTAGCTTTTGTCGGCTCTCTAGCTGTTGAAAGGGTGGGTTATAGAGATAAAGGGGGAATGTTATGTCTAGGTGGCCTTCTTTCCTGTGGGAACAGAGAAGATGCCTGCAGCTGGAGGAAAGTAGACTTTGGAGGCGCCGGGGGGGGGGGGGGGGGGGGGAGAGAAGTTTCAAACTTTTGCCTTTTACTGGGTATAATTCCGGAATCTAGCCAGAGTCATAATTACACCAAGACCTTGCCAATTTGATATGTCCCTAATAAACAGACTTGGATTTTATTTCAGGGGACATATTACTTGGAAGCTTGACACAGGGCTGGATATGGCTTGGAGGCCCTAAAATGACCAGGTCTAACAACCTAATGATTGGATTGTATATAATCTAGAAATATTGCGCCACGAACTTCAATAAAGGAAGCTGCTTTAAATTTCTTTAGAAATTTAAACTTTGCTAGTGGCAATGATCTAATAATGCAAGACATTTCAAGGGGCAGGAGAAGGAGTCTCATAAATGCTAGAATATCACCAGCTACCAAGCCAAGAATGTTCTTCCCTTGTATTGGTATTCCTCACTCTCCTGTTTTTTTTAAAAAAATGATGCCAGCAATTTTCATTCTCCTTTAAAAATGAAAGTAGAGCTTGTTTGAATACTGTTCAGCTGATGGAAGAACTGCAAAAATTGTTCCCAAAGTGTTAGATGAAGTTACTTCCTTAAATGGCCCTTGTTACAAGCATTCTCATGAACAACCTAGATTCTTCTCCAATCTCTTAGCAAATGTTTCTGATGTCTTGGAAAAATGGATCTCCACTCTTTTCTTTTCTTTCATCCATCCTTCAGATTCAAAGCCTAAATTCTGGCTGATGGCCACCTACAGGATCTGGTCAAAAAAGTCAAGATGACAGCTGAAGCTCTATTCAGTTGGGTTGCACTTTGAACACAACATTGGGTTGCACCATTTTTGACTTTTTGGATTACACCCTGCAGTCCCTTCATGCTTACGGTTGTCTCTTCCACATCACTGCTATGCAGTCCTGGCTTACAATTGAAAGAGACATCTGAACAAGAGGAACAAAAATTATCCCAGCTGGGACACACAAACACCACATTGAATCACTTTCAGATCCTGCAGTATTGCATGGATATCGATTCACGAGACAACAGAAAGACATTTAAAAGGGGGGGGGCGATGCTTTTCCAGTATCTATCAGCACAAATAAACCATACCGAAGAATGAAATTAATGCAATTCAAGTGCAATAAAATTATATAAGAGTCACTTGAGGGGAGAAAACCAAGTCAAATGGTTTTCTACTTGGCCTAGCAGAGTTTTACTAATGTAATTACTGCGTAGTTTAGACTGGCAAACTGTTTTCTTCAGAAAAGAAGTCATTTGAACTCAACACACCTGCCAAGTTGGCTTTCAGAGGGGCAGGGGGTGGGTGAGAACAGCAGCAAACTTATTTTCACATCTAGAAAAACGTTTGACAGTTAACCACGTGGAACACAATATACCAAGGACAACAAACTTCCAATTCTGTGGATGTGCCATGGAAAATTTAAAAAAATCTACTGTGAAATGTAAAGAAAGAATATCTACACTGATCTGCTTCTAATATTGAGGAAGTCGTCTTAGTAGTCTTTTTTTTCAATTTCATAGTGGGTTTTTTTTTGTTTTGTTTTGCTTTCCTGTTAAAGCCATTTGATCTTCCTAGAAAGCTACAGACTGCTGCAAAGAGATTTATCCAGAAGATTTCATCACTAAGTCCAAATTCTTTTCTTCCTTTTAAGAAAATTCAAAAGCAAATTCTCTTTCATCCAACTAAATGAGAATTGATAGACCAAAGTGCAAAATTGCTCAGAATCCAACTCTCAAATCCAGTGACTGCGGGTGGCTGAAACGATGCAGTTTGAAATTTGCATTAATTTTCCCAAACCTGGTTGGATGTCTAGATGCACGTGAACAAATTTGGATCTGTGGTCCAGCCTGAAACCCCTGACATTTACAGTGGCTAAGTTCACACAACATACTTAATCAGGTCTGCATCACGCCAACTTGCTGAATTCATGCAACAAGCTAAATTTAGTTCGTTTTCACTTTCAATAGATTGCACATGCCTGCGTTTGTGCTAATATTGTGCTTATTTTATGATTCCACATTGAGCAAATCCAGAAAATAGACTAAAGAATAAACAAATCAAATCATAATCTGGTCAAACAAATGTGTAAAATAATTTATAGATAATACAAGACATGGAAAGTCTATGGATTCTATGGCTTCCATTTGGTAAGATTTAATTTATCTGGTTCATCTACCCATGATGTATTGTATTGATCCATCCTACCCCTAGCCATCCATCAATTTAAAAAAACATCCACATTTTGATACCCTGTGATGTGAGTAGCAAGAATTATCCAGTCTCAGCACTTAAATAGATTGGAGAAGGTTGATTTAGAATGAGAAATACGGAGAAGCAATTCATCTAGCAGCCTTCTGCTTGTTCGGTTTTACCTCTCCATACTTCCACCCAAGAATGAGAGCAGGCAATGAAATTAGAAATTTCCCAAAGCTCCTTTTTCAAAAGGCGACTGGACTTTGTTTTTCCTTTAAGGCGTTTTGTTTCTCATCCGAGAAGCTTCTTAATTCTGTAGTCTTCTTTAATTCTCTGTTCTTCTTTAGCTCAGAAGAAGCTTCTTGGATGAGAAGCAAAACACTTTCAAGGAAAAGCAAAGAAAGTCCAGTTGCCTTTTTAAAAAGCATCTTTGGGACAACCATGACCTGGAAGGCTGAGAATTCCCATAGATGTTTAAATATATAATCAGGAAAACTATGCTATCTCCTTCCTAGTTCCTTAAGAGATATAGAACTCACCCAGCATTCCTTTGTTGGAGCTTGATAAGCACATGTCTTTCTCAGCACTGGGCAAGACAAAACCAACCACAAACACTTCCACTCCATCTGCCATCAGGGCCAAGCCCAGCACAATGAAAAGCATCCACTGGAATCGTCCGTGGCCACATTCCACAATGATATTCTCATACTGGTGGGCCAACTGCTCTTCATCTTCCATCTTTTCTGCTATAAGCTCGTCGTGATCTCTGAACTCATTGGAAAGACCGGCTTTTTTCTGCTTGGGCTTGTCATCTGGGTGAGGAATGCCCTGGTACTCTCCTTCATAAACTTCGTCATCTTCATCATGGCCTTCAGTAGCATCGCTCTGAGCATCTTCTTCCTGATTGGGCTCCTCTCTAGTGTGATAGGTTGGGTCATTGGGCGCATAACCTGTATAGCCACCATCTTGGTAGCGATAGCCATCAAACCCATGGCTCCCCTGATTTCTATGGCCATCATCCATTTTGAGCAAAATAGGTCTGGATTTGACAGTTATATTTTATCAATGTTTGTTCTGTGTTTTGTGCAGGTGGATATATTTTTAACCTGTTCTGTTAACTACATGGGCATAACTGCCTCTTCCTTTGAAGATGTGCTTTATATGCGATCAAACCACCACAATTTAGATGAAGCTTGAATTAAGGAACTGTATCCTTCCTAAAGTATGCCATGGTATTTTAGAACTGCCTCTTTGTGTTTTCTGAGTCCTTCAGCTGTCAAGCAATGCTGTGGGAGGAAACCCAAGGGATCAGCAGCTTTTTCGCATCAGGCCCTAGTGAGTCTTGACAAATTGTTTGCTTTCATGGTCCATCTTCCTGTGAAAAGTCACATCCTAGAGAAGAAAAGAGAAAAATACAACATTAAATGCTTTGAAAGAAAGATGTTCAATTCATCTGGAAACATCTTATGGAAGGGGAGAAAAGGGCAGCTAAAACATATTTAAAGACACTGTGGTCCCTAGAATGTCTTTGTGTGTTCCATTTATATTCCATATTTTGTTCAGGTGTTCAAACTTGGCTAGCCCTCCATCCTCCAGGGAGTTTCATGGCTGAGGATGGGCTAAAATCTGAGTTTCTTTGCTCCCAGTCCAACACTTTCACAACCACATCACATCAGTATACAAGAGAACAAAAACAAGTGATCAAGGCTTGCAGATTTCTTACAGGTTTCTCCCACAAGTGGAATTGTTTCAGCTGGGTCATAACAGCTCTCCTCTGACCATTGGGGAAAAGTCCAAGTTCAACTGGAAAGTCACATTTTGTACAGCAGGGTTTTGAAATGCTGTGTAACAACCTGTATTCATCACACTCTCCCTTTGTGTATCTGTACATCTGTATGAGACCCTCTCCAAAATTCCTTAGCATAATCCCAAAACACCAGCATTGCTTCTCGCATGTTTGGGATGGTAGAACTCCTGAAACAATCATGAATTTCAATCAGGATGGTGAACAAACCTTGGAAGTGAACTGCACAGAAAACCAATGAACAGCTTGTGACTCTTGCAGACTTTTGGAAAGACAGAGGCACAAAAATTTATAGCTCTGACTTTCAACATTTTCTCTCTGTCTCTTTCTCTCTGTGAGGAAGAGAGCATTAGCTAATGAGCCGTGGTTCTCTTTTTCAATTCCACTTGAAAAAAATAGTCGTCTTCTGGATCCTCTTACAGAGCTTCAGGCCATCCTTTCTATTTCAATGAAATGCTGTTTGACTCAGCATTTGCAATGTTGCACTGAAATGCACTCAAATCCGTTACGACTCTTGCAGAAAACTGTGCGAGCTGCTGCTCACTATATTCATGCATCTGATGAAGGGAGCTACGGCCTCTGGAAATGGGTGCCTTTTTATAAAACCAGTCAGTTAAAAAAATTACTACCAGGCTCCTCCCAATCTCTTCCCTTTCCTCTTCCTAGCACTGGCTCCTCCCCTGCTCCTTTGCATAGTTCTGTGGATGCATCTGGATAGCATCTGGATTAAGAGCCGGGGTGCCGCAGTGGTTAGAGTGTGGTACTGCAGGCTACTTCTGTTGACTGCTGGCTGCCTGCAATTTGGCAGTTTGAATCTCACCAGGCTCAAGGTTGACTCAGCCTTCCTTCCTTCTGAGGTGGGTAAAATTGTTGAGGGCAAGGGGCTGACTCTGTAAACCACTTAGAGAGGGCTGTAAACGCACTGTGAAGTGATATATAAGTCTAAGTGCTATTGCTATCTCCTTCCTTTCTTTCCTTCCTTCCTTCCCTTCTTTCCTTCCTTTCCTTCTTTCCTTTTCTCCCTTCCTTCTCTTCCTTCCTTTCCTTCCTTCCTTCCTTCCTTCCCAGTGGTTAGAACGCAGTATTGCAAGCTAATTCTGCCCACTGCCAGGAATTCAAGCCTGACCATCTGAAGGTTGATTCAGCCTTCTGTGAAGTGGGTAAAATGAGGACCCAGATTGTTGGGGACAAGAAGCTGACTCTGTAAACCACTTAGAGAGGGCTGTAAAGCACTGTGAAGCGGTATATAAGTCTAAGTACTATTAAAAAAAAAAAACCTACTGTATTGTAATACATTTAAAGAGATAAAGCTCCGCTGAAACAAATCCATTGCAAAGTGACATTTCCTGCGGCCTTTGCAAAATCAAATCTGTCCTTTAAACAGATGGTTTAGTGGTGATGATGATGCTTGTAATTTTAAGTGAGGCAACGTCTCAAAATCCATGTTATTTCTTTGGAACAGAAACTACCCCCAAAAAAGCAGATTGTCTCATCTGAAAACTGGATTAGATTTTTTTTTTAAAGATACACACTCCCATTGCAAGGGAGAGGTTATTTTCTGCTGGCATCTCTGCTTCTCTCTCCAGGAAGATATTCAAGAATAATAATGCTCATTAACATCCAGAATGAGAAAAGGGGTGTCTCAATTCCTGCTCAATTCCTTTACTCAAAATTTGTACTATGCAGCACAAGAAATCTAGCATTTCTATTATAAATCTAATACCAGTTTGGTCTACTGGTGAAGGCACCAAGCTAGAAACTGGGAGACACTAAGTTCTAGTCACCCCTTAGCTAGGAAAGCCAGCTGGATGACTTTGGGCCAATCACCAAGAGACTATGAATTCTAGTCTCACTTTAGCCATGAAGGCCAGCCAGTTGGATGACTCTGGACCAATGTGAGTTCCAATCCCAACTTAGTCATGAAAACTAGCTGGGTGATTTTGGGCCAATCACATTCTCTCAGTTCAGCCCACCTCACAGGGTTATTGTTGTGAGGAAAATAGGAAGAGGAAAGAGTATTAATTATGTTCACCACCTTGAGTTATTTATAAAAATAATAAAGGAAGGATGTGAATAAATAAATAATCAGTAGAATTGTACTTTGGAAACAACTTATGGCAAAAACTCTGAAAGGCACATATATGTTTATGATGCCTGAGTTGGCTGTGACAACTTGTGGACATAAATTTCATGTCACTGCAATAGCATTGAACAATTAACATTAACCAGACATTGGTACAATTATATTAAGCAGAACTGGCTGGCATAACTCTGAAAAGCTTAGAAGGAACAGGAAACTAGAACAATAGCAATAATAATAGCACTTAGACTTACATACCATTTCATAGTGCTTTACAGTCCTCTCTAAATGGTTTGAAGAATCAACATATTGCAATCTGGGTCCTCATTTTACTGACCTGGGAGGGATGGAAGGCTGAGTCAACCTTGAGCCAGTCAACATCAAATTGCTAGCAGTGGGCAAAGTTTGCCTGCAATACCGCATCTTAACTACTGTGCCACAATGGCAGAACCAGAGTTAAAAATCTGCTGTAGATGAGAAGTTGCAATATTTGAAAATTTTCAGCTCAGGGAAAAAAGAGAGGAAGAGATATCACAACTCTTTCTGAGTTTCCCCTGAGCATTAAGAGGCTAGGAAACACCACATTTTTCCAGCTTGTCAAATAGATGATGTCAAGAATAGGAGTTTGGGCTAATGGACAGACTCTCCCTTCCTTAAAGCCCCACCTCTTGCGTCATCTGATTGACAGGTGGTAAAGCAGTCAAACCCAGTCTGAGAGTAGATTCAGTCTCAGTTCCTGGTTTTAACACCCTCCTATAACAGTCCTCCATTCCAAGTTAGGTTCCATCTCAATTCATACAATATCCATTTCTCCTCAGGGAAGACGTGGAGTTATTTATTTTCAGTATTGTGATCCTGACCGAGTCTTAATAGATCTCAATACAAAATATTTGGTGCCAAAGAAAAATACACATAAAATAAAAACACACGAACAAGTGCTTAAAAACAAACCAGGGTTAAAAGCACATTCATACAGAATGGGTTTGACGTGTTTACAAAAAAAATAAGCAAGGTTGAGGCCATGTGTAACTCCAAGACCAGGTAATTGCCTGGCCTAGACTCCGTGGATCTCACAGAGGGTCTTTGAATGTTGTACTCCATCCAGAATCACTTATTTGTGAGAGGGGCAACTCTATAAATTAGATAATGTCATGTTCCTGTCAATCAGCAGATGGCTTGATTTTTATTTTTATTTTTTTGCTTTTCTGAATGCAGATGGAATGCTAATGCATGCACACACATTCCTTGGTATCAGCCTCACTACTACCAGCTTGTAATCTGTCAACTACAATTATAAAAGGCCTCTTTGAATCCTCCGCAGAAAGGGAGGATTCACTATCAGGGTTAATACTGAAAGCATCTTCCACGGTTGTTCACTCAAACCCAGGCCCAGGGAACATAGATTTAATATTTGCAGGTTAAGGCGCTGAATATTTCTTTTCCAATATCTCCTGCTTGTGCAGGGGGCTGGACTAGAAGACCTCTAAAGTCCCTTCCAGCTCTATTCTATTCTATTATTTCAGTCAGAGTGATTCTTTTAAATTTTTTTTTTAAAAAAAAAAAATCCATCAACCCCTAATATTCCAAGAGAGCTTGAAAAGAAAAGAAGCAAAGAAATAACACGACAGATGTGGCATTGCAAGCTGCAGGAAATCCCAGTGGGGCTTATTAAGTGAGCTACCTGTGGATCCTATACTGGGAGCTGAAAGGCACCTGAAGGTCATTCTAATGACAGGAACAGAGGCTGCCAAGCTGATTTCAGCACCATGGGCAGCACCTACTCAGGTTGAGAGAGAGAACCAGACAGACAGACTCCTAACAAGTCCAAGCGAAGTTACAACAACTTCCGCTATGCGTGGCCAGAATCTGACAATAACATTTAACACAGCACAGGACTTAAGCAAAAGAGTTCGGTTGAAATCTGCATATGTGGGACTGATTGGAGTAGATTGTAGGGCTGACACCAAAATATAAGTTTTATCATATTTTATCTGTGTCTTGACTTATTGTATTTTATTCCAATTTTCATTTCAGACTGTTTTCATCAAATTTTAGTAATAATTTGTTTCTGGAACTCTGCACTTTGAAATGGCCCATGGGCTAATCAGTAAATAAAGATAAAGATATGGAGGTAGTCCT